CTCTCTCTCTCTCTCTCTCTCTCTCTCTCTCTCTCTCTCTCTCTCTCCTTCTCAAGTTAGGACTTAACCCCTTCTATTGAGATTAAAGCTGCCTGTCCCCAAATAGCATATCTGCATAGCTATATTGGCCCTTCTTGTTACAAGAAACGAGGTAGACCAGGCTTTCTGCGGTTCTGCCAAAGGTTTGGGGGAAGCAGTGTTGTGTGTAACTTAAGACTGGTTCACACATGCATGTATGTGTCCCTTGAGGCATCATCGGTTTGGTTTCATGTTTCTTTCTTTTACACCCAGCTCCAACGGCTTTATCTATCCTTGATCAGAACATAGTGAAGTTGGAAGCCCCGAGGTGCCCATGTCCTGTTTCCCCCACCACGTCTGCTGTGCATGTGTGACATGATCTGAGTGTTCTGTCTGTGACATTAGATTTGGGCGTGTTCTCACTGGAGATGTTGCAGTTATGCATGTGTGAACCAGCTTCTCCTTGACCAGATGCTTCAAAAATACACATCCAGGGTCTCCGTAAATATTGTACATTTATAGACAGGTCTCTACCTGGAAATGTTCCATGAGGTTCGCGTTTTAATGCCAGCAGTGGAAATTATGTTATGTTAGTTTTTCCTCCTGGAGGAGAAAAAAAAAAGCAAGACAAAGTATTTTTATTCATTCATTCATTCATCCATCCATTCATTCATTTATTTCCTGTTGTGCTGCTATTCTGGTCAATGAAATACGCCATACCATGTTTTAGACTGAAACTATTACATTCATATGGGTGTGAATAAATAATGTTCCAGGGAATCTTTGTCTTGGTTTTATTGTGTGCACATTAAGATGAATCTTAAATACACAAAGAAAATATACAAATTAAAGTCAAGTCTGGGTATCTACCCAGAAGTCATTCCTCTACCTACAGTATAGGTTATTTTCATGGAAAACTGCATAAAATCAACCATTTTAATATACTTGGATCCCTCAACAACTTAATGCTTAAGTTTTAAAAAATCTATAACTTCCAGTTGCAAATAGCAGGTAGGTAGATTCTTGGCACTTTTATGTCCATTCCTGTTTTTTTTAAAGAAGAAGCATTTTAGGATATCCAGCTTGGGGGGGGGGGTACAAAAGGGACACACACACACACAGAGACACACACACAGACACACACACACACACACAATAAAACAGAAGTTTTTTTAAAAAAAAAATCCACTGCCATTAATAAACAAATCCCAAACATGAAATCTGCTCTTCTTACAAATATTTTAACAGAGTTGGCTCCATCTTGGCTTCGTTTTTATTTTGGTTTGGAAGGAGTCTCTCTTAAGATCAGCTCCGTTTGGGATTTTCGGCTTATTCCTTTGTTTCTTTCTTTGTTTTAATCACGATTGGAAGGCAGGGGAATTTTTCAAGCGTTGTTTCTCACAGATCGCTTCCACGCCCCCTTAGACAGATATGTTCACAAACGACGCATAGAACGCGAGTCTGTAATTTCTCTCGTTTATTTCCCCCAAAGTTTAGACGGCTTCTTATTAGATGGAAGCCCAAAGAGGAAGAAAAGGAAGGGGGACAAACTCTTTTGAACTTAGCTTTAGTTACTTCTGGGTAACTTCCTGTAGGATTCTTGATATGCGGTGAGGATTTTATTTTCCCTTTAGGGTCCCGCTGTGTGTTTCCTATGTTACTTGTATAGGATGGTTGGAAACGGCCCCCTGATTTCACTGAGGACGATATCTCTAGGCTAACCATAAGCCCCCCTACTCCTTATTCTTCCCCGACGCCCCGTCCTTCCAAGGCCCGGCGTGCCCGTTTCCTTCGGCTTCCCAACGGCTGCGCAAAACGCCTCGCCTGCCTATTCACTCTTCCACCCCTTCCATCGCACGGCGGGCCGAGGCTGCGTAGCCACGTCCTGATTCTTCCCCACCCCACCCCCCCCCACACACACACACCCGGCCCTCTCAAGAGAGTTTGGGGAGTCTCCCTTTCTATCGGCCCCCGAAGCTGTGGGGTTACAGGGGACCCGGAATCCAGGATGTCGGCCCTTCCCCGCCCTTTGGCTGCCTCCGACCGGAGGAGAGGAACTGACGGAGCGCTTCCCAAAGCGTTTCTGGCTTCTTTTTGCCTTTCTCCTTTGGAATCCCCTCCGTTTCACGGAGAAGGGGAAAGAGGGCTCCAGATCGCCCGCCTGCCTCCTCCTCCTCCTCCTGTCTAAAGGGCCTCCGCCGCGCTTCTCCCCGCGGGGCTGGGCGGGGCTGGCCGACCGTATTTGGGGACCCTTTTTTTCGCCCGCTTTGATCTCAGGGCTCCGCTTGGCTGCGTCTCCGCGGAGGTAAAAAGCCGCCGGTGAAATCCGCGACATTCTTCCCCGGATTCTTCCCACCCCCACCGCCACCCCCGGGAACTAACGATGCGTGGGGCTGGGCGCCGAAGAGGCAGCCGTGGGCGATGGGGAGCGAAACTCACCGGGAACAAAAGAGAAGCGACTCAACTCTTGTTCATTCAAGCGCGTTTCGTCCCGACGGAACAGGTTGGGGGGCGGGGGGCAAAGCGCGTGCTTCTTGCCCAGAGTCGATTTCGTTTACAGACCCCGCTGGCTCAAGCCCAGGAAACTGGAAAACTTCGTTTCTGTTCTGGTTTCTCCCACCGGCCTCCCGGTGAGGCGAACGGGTCTAACCAGGTGTTGGGTTTGCCCTTCGCTTGGCTTTTTTTTTTTCTTCCAAAAATCGCCTTTGGCATTACATCCAAGGCTGACCAGTTGCAACAGAACTTGAAAAGAAGGGGTGTTGTTTCAGAGAAGAGGTTTCTCCCGAATATTCTGCCCCCCCCCCAAAAAAAAAAAGAGGAAGGGAGAAAGGAAGGAAGGAAGGAAGGAAGGAAGGAAGGAAGGAAGGAAGGAAGGAAGGAAGGAAGGAAGGAA